AATCTCAATTAAATAGACCAAAATAGAGCAAGTCAATAAAAGAGAACGGAGAGAAAAATAGAGCAAGTTAATGACACTATCATTTACGTATAGAAGTTTCACCAAATAGGAAAATGAAATGAGAACAGTAGTACAATATTATATACAAGTAGTAGTGCAATATTATTAACAAGAGAAAAAAAATGGAGAAGACATGAGCATAGAAAAAAAAAAAGATGAAAAACTTACTTGAAAATTCTTGAAGCACTTGAAAAGTCACTTCAAACAATCCTCCAAAATCTTATGAGTTTGGATGGGATTGTTTTATGAATTTGGTATTTATAGATACTACTAATTAAAAAGTTCATCAAAATCCCTCTAATACAACAATCCTTTAAAATTCCTATATTTTTGAATACTAATGGATTGTTTTTAAGTTATAATAAGTCTCAAATAAATACCAATAGATTTTAATATATTCTTTAAAAAATCTTGAAAATCCTGATTGAATACCACTTGATTGTTTTTAAGTGACATAAAATCCTGATTGAATACCAATACATTTTTTTACTCAAAAAAAATCTTTTAAAATCCTATAAAATCTTAAACCAATACACCACTAAATTTTCAACTGATTTAGTTGGTTTTAAAAATAATTTTGATAATCAATTGATAAGAATTTGGTAAAATCGGTAAAAATAAATAAAAAATCAGTTGAACCGTTTCAATTAAAAATATTTTTTTATTTTTAAAATTCAATTTAAAATATTTTTAATAAAAATACATATTTAAAAAATTTAAATTTGAATAACTTATTCTTAATACTTATCTTATATTTATAGTTTAATCATTTATATTAATTTTATATTTTCAATATCTTTATTTTTTACAACTTATATTATATTAATTTGATATCCCTTATTTTAAATGTAAACTTGTTATTATTATTAATAAATATTGTTATATTTTATTAAAATTTAAACTTAAATATTATATTATATTTTGTTTGGAACTTAAATATTATATCACATTAAATATTAAAAATTTATAAATAATATATTTATTTTAATTAATTTTTAGTGTTATAAAATTATAATATTATATTCATTTAATATTATTATTATTAGGTAATGTTTGGAATACATGTTAGAATGGGACGGAACGGGATAATTGAGTTTTGTTTCCTAATTAATGAAATTAAAATGGAGAACAGAACGGAATACATGATTAAAATAGTAGAACACTTTGTTCCCTAAAAAAAGGTGGAACCAACTAGAATGAGACAAGACATTTTATTAAATATTTTTAATGACAAAATTACCACTTTTTATTTTTATAACTCTTTCACTACATACCCAACTAAAAAACAAAATTCTTGTAGCAATTTTTTTTCTCCTCGCACTAGTTCGCTGCTCTTTTTTCCTCTCCCTGCACTGTTCGTTGTTCCCACTACATATAAGGACAAAGCATGTTTTTCCTTATCTTTTTTTATGCTATTTGCATCATTGAAATTTATGTGTTTTACTATTTGTATCATACAAATTATTGATCATTTGAATTACTATCATTTGCTAATAGAGAGAATGATATACTCATTCAAATCAACTCAACGTTGTTTTATATATATATATATATATACGCAC